AAATTGATTAGTTGATGCTTACTTGACTGTCACAGTGGCTTCTGGATTCAAAGTCAAAATTGGTTTGTTTCATCTTTGGTGTAGGGAGGGGGATACCTGAGAGATCAGAAGAAAGAGATGCCATGTAAATTAGGATTAGACTTTCTGTTCTCTAAATCAATAAAACAATTGGGAGGTGGAAGAAAAATAGACTGATTCATCTATCAAAAACAAGTCTGTGTTCCCATTTATGATCCTAGTATGATGGGTACTATTAGCACTGTTGCACGCAGAGCCAGTCTTGGGGTAAAAAGCACCCTGGGGGAGGAGTGACTTTGGTGCCCACCCACCCCCCACAGCTTTGTAGGGCATCCTGAGGGTTTATGGGGTCTGGTGCAGGTATGACATTGGGGTCCCTGCTGCTGCTCCCTGAAAGGACCCATGCATGCATTTACAAGGCTGGGGGGCATATGTAAGAACAGTTGCATGCATGAACTACAAATTCTCACTGGCAGCTCCTCCTTGCCCTGGGATCAAGTAGAACGATAGATGTGCTTCATTTTGGGGGGGGATCAGGTTGTATTTTTCTTGAGCAACTCCTCCAAATTCCAACCTCCTTCTGATAGAGCTTCTTTCTGCTTCCTGTGGCTGAGTCTCACAGGTCTTTTGGTTGTGGCCTGCTGCTGCCCTTCTCCAGCACTCACTCAAGAAGGAGTCCTCCCTATGCCTTTTCCTGTGGCAACTGCCACATAAAGTTACTCTCCATTGCCACCTTGCCTGGAAATCTTAAGTGACACCATTAGTGGCCAACGGTATGCACAGAAACTAAGAGTATAACTTTCAGCATGAAGCGGCCCCAAACTGGGACACCATCTTCCTGTGCAAGTCACATGACCTGCGTGAGATCATGTGCCTCCCCCATGAGATTTTTCAGGCACAGAGCCCCAAAAGCAGTTTTTTTTGGGCAGAAATCTTGCACGTGTGTTTGGGGGCGCCATGCTCGGAAAAAGGGCAGCCTGAAATCAAGCAAGATCACAACGGCCATTTGGGCTGTTGTCTTTTTGGGAGATAAAATGGGGTGTCTTGGAGCAGCTGACAAGTATGCAGGAGGCCGCTTGTTTTGTGTTGGTCTGGGGCAAATTATTCCAGGTGGACCAGCAGCTTTGCAGTGTTACCAAGCTGTATGGGTCATGCAGGATTGAAAAACAGTCTAACTTTTTAAAAAAAAAATGATTTATTGATTCTTTTGTTCACCAAAGTGTTCTGTTTGGGGTCTCTGAAGGGACTCATAGCAAAGGACTTATGCATAAAGCTCTCAAACATCAAATAGCAGTGCATAAAGAAGGATTTTACATAAATGATGTAATTTACATAAGTGTCCTCCCAAGTTCTGTCTTTCTGGTTGTGTCTTTCTGAAGCTTGACCTTTGTGCTGGCTAGAGAGGAAAATGCCTCTTTATCTTCACCTCAGCTCCGCAGTGGTTCTCTCAAACGGGTTGGCACTCAGGAACTTCAACTTACAGGCCTTTATAATATAAAACATCAACACACAAGGAACTTACAGTGTTGGGGGAATTCATAACTCAATTTAAATCTTTAAGGGAAACCTCATTACTCAGCTGTTTTTAAGTAGGCAGAGCATTACCAAAAGGAGACAACAGGCATCAGCCATATTATTCTGAAGTAACAAGTTATTTGTCCATAACGGTGGCTGCTCCCTGCCTCAACTCTTCTGCTGAGCATGTGCAGCCTTGTTAAACTGATACACAGCAGTGGGTTTACAACAGCACAGCAACAGACCTGCTACTCCCAAGCTTTCCTCCAGCAATGTCTATGAGAAGTGCCCAGACTGAGCTGCCTCGTAGCTGCTGCTGTGCTTTCAACTCACTCCTGCTCCATTTGAAATCTCTGCCATGTGCTATTAGTAGCTCTCGAATGACAACTCTCACTGAAATGGTGACTTCGTGAAGTTGTAGGCCTACATCTGGGTCAGCCCACCCATGAGGCAGTCTGAGGCAGCCATCTCAGCTTGCACCTATGTGACAGCACACCCATGGGCACCCTGCCTCCCCCTCTTTGAAATCTTGTCAGAAGCTGCCTCACAACCCTGGTAAACAAAGCTTTGGTGGCAGGGAGAACAAGGGGCCAGCACTTTCCCATTTCACCTCAGGCAGTGAAACACCATTGGTCATCCCTGGCCTATATACTTTATTATATTCAGCATACTCACAAGATTCTGCTGCACGCGCCCCTCCCTCCTTGAGCTTCATCAGTCCATCATCAGCTACAAGAAGTAATGTAAAGGTAAAAAAGGGTAAAGGACCCCTGGACGGTTAAGTCCAGTCAAAGGCGACTATGGGGTTGCGGCACTCATCTCGCTTTCAGGCCAAGGGAGCCGGCGTTTGTCCACAGACAGCTTTCTGGGTCATGTGACCAGCTTGACTAAACCGCTTCTGATGCAACGGAACACCATGACGGAAACCAGAGTGCACGGAAACATCATTTACCTTCCCACCACAGCAGTACCTATTTATTTACTTGCACTGGTGTACTTTCGAACTGCTAGGTTGGCAGGAGGTGGGACAGAGCAACAGAAGCTCACTCTGTTGCTGGGTTTCCAACCACCGACCTTCTGATCGGCGAGCCGAAGAGGCTCAGTGGTTTAGACCACAGCACCAGTCTTTTGCAGTGATATAACTAGTCTTAAATGGACAGTCTCACCATATACAGTCTCCAGCCTTCTTCCCTTGCTACTTTTTTTTAAAAAATTTGGAAATTACCAGTGTCCCAAAATGTAGAGCTGCAGTAACCATGTGACTACACCTAACAGCTGCGTGGTGTGTGTATGTATGCCTTGTAGCAGTTCTTGTCTTTTGATCAGCATTCTTTATTTTATAATGCTTTTCCCCCTTTAAAAATACCGAAACACTTGGTTGCAGGACCACTTGTAAATGAGTAAATCCATTCTTGCATGAGAGGCATTCTGAAATGCCTCCCACCTTTTGTCAGCTCCCTTGTTTTTCACCCAAGGGAGCAAAGACATGAGTGCCCTGGCTGCTGAAACACGGGATATTCATTTGTTGCCTTGTACTACTTCACAGTTTTGAGGGAGATAATTTTATTTTATTTTTACCCTAAATAAAAGCAATTTCATTTTGATCCTTGTTGTCACCCTCAGGATAGAGGCTTTCAGAGCCAATTGTTTAGTTTTCTCTGCTAACTTTGAAATGATGAATTTTAAATCCCAGCTCAGTCTTAAACCCTTTGTATTCGGATACAGCGATTCCAAGCACTCATAAAATGCATACTGTTAAAATAGCCCTCAATGGTGATTTTATTTACCGTTTGATCACTTCCCTTGTAACTACTGATTAATTCTTTCTAACCATTGTAACAGTTGTTGCCTACATTCAAAGTGGTTCCCCAAGGACAGCCGGAGAGAGCCAGAAAATCCAAAGGCAAGAGCGTGAAATGAAATATATGTTTGCCCTTTTATGTGCTGTAGCTGGATATCCAAAATTTATGCTTTAAGCTGTCACTTTAATCAGCAGCTAAAGCTTTTCTTTCTTTGTTTTTTAGCAGCCAAATAAACTCATACTGGTCACTGATTGGCAACACCACTGTAATAGGTCACAGTGGTACAAGAAGGCTTGCTAACTGATGGCGGCCTCCTTGATTACTGAGTAAGCAACATATACTGTACTTTGTAGGTAAATGAAACAGCTGCAGGGGCATGGCAAGGAACTTAAAATTAGGAAAATATATGCACCACTTCTGTGGTTTCTTGCTTCATATTCCCTCTTTTCCCATTTCCCCAATTGCTTGCACAGGTGGTCGGATTAATTAAATTGCCGCCATTCCTCGGTGCTCATATTACTTCTACAACTTGGACTGGAACAATTCAGCATATTCCCAACACGCTGAGTGAGTGGGAGCCTGCAGCAAAATGTGGCCATGTGGACTATTCCTGCTGAGGGTTCCAGCCTTCTAGCCATGTCCTTTCCCAGGACACTCCATTCCATTCTCCTGCCTCCTGGTTTCTTCTCCCCCTCCCAAGTCAATCAGCATTCCATGGCCATTGTGTTGTTGTTGTTGTTTAGTCGTTTAGTCGTATCCGACTCTTCGTGACCCCATGGACCAGAGCACGCCAGGCACTCCTGTCTTCCACTGCCTCCCGCAGTTTGGTCAGATGGTCAGATAGCCATTTGGTCAGATGGTCAGATGGCTATTGTGCCTGCTGATTATCCACGCATGCACCCCTGCTCAGCGCCTGTGGGCCCCAGTCCTGCCACTCAACACCTGGCCTAGGGCGGGGCCTGATGGGCTGTATAAAGGACTGCTGCCGCTGCTGTTTTGTTTTGTGTGTTTTTTTGTTTGTTTAAATTGCTGTTATTATTTGCCTATGTCATTTTAAACTGTGACATTAATGCTGTATTCTTAGTTTTAGATTTTGATTTACAGTGGTACCTCAGGTTAAGAACTTAATTCGTTCTGGAGGTCCGTTCTTAACCTGAAACTGTTCTTAACCTGAGGTACCACTTTAGCTAATGAGGCCTCCTGCTGCCGCCGTGCCGCCGGAGCACGATTTCTGTTCTCATTCTGAAGCAAAATTCTTAACCCGAGGTATTATTTCTGGGTTAGCGGAGTCTGTAACCTGAAGCGTCTGTAACCCAAGGTACCACTGTATGTGGAAATTGTTTCCCATTTGGTTGTTTATTTTTTTTGATGTGGTCTATTTATTGTTTATGACTTTTGTAATTATGTAAATCTTGTTATGCTGTAAGCCGCCTTGAGCATTGTTTTTTAACTATGGAAAGGCGGCATACAAATAAAAAATGGGGGGGGGATGAAAACATACCCTATGTTAGTTATGTGGGCCAGGGTTTGGCATCTGGCAGCCTGCAATATGGATGCGGCTTACCTTCCCCAAGCCATTGTTCTGCCATTACAGACCCTGCCAATAACATTTTCAAGTTTCCCTGATGGTCATCTAGTCCAAACTTCTTTAATTCAGGAATCTTTTTGTCCAATGTGGGGCTCCAACCCACAACCCTGAGATTAAGAGTCTCATGCTCTACCAGCGAAGCTATGCTTCAGAACATATGTGCACCAAAACTATGAAAACACCTTTAGGTAGCATCTTTCTGGAAAATGCATTTATTCATGTTTTGTATTTATATCCCAGCTTCCTCCAAGGAGCTCAAGGTGGCACACAATACATGGCCTTTCTCTTTTTATCCTGTCAACAAACTACCTGTCTGAGGTAGTTTAAGCTGAGAGCTGGTGACTAACATCATCCAATGAGTTTCATGGCCAAATGCTGGGCCAGTGAACCAAAAAATTGGTGCCTTCCCTGCTAGAGCTGAGGGGCCACTATAGAGGTGGCATGGATTATTAATTTTTTAGAAATCACAATGTTTTGTGATTTTTAAATGGATAGTGTAGTTTTTGAGTTTTGATCTGTCCCAAAAATAAAGTCACATTTTGATCCACCATCTTGATTCAAAATGGTGCCTGGAATCCAAACATCAACCAAGACTGCTACCACAGGAACCTTCAAGTCTGGCAATGATCTCTTGAGAGGTGACCAAGCCTATGCCAAAAATTGAGTGAAGTCATGCCAAAGTGATATTTCAGTTTACCATCTCAAATCTAACTGGTACCAGTGTTCAAACATCAATGCAGACTACCCCAACCTTGGGAACCCCTGTGCCTTATTTCATGAGCAAGGACTTCTGTTTGCACAGCAAGGCTTTACCCCCTCTCCTCCCCCTGTGTGCCCCCCCCCAAATTGGCTATGTGGTGGGTGAGGAGAACCCTGGAACAGTGAGGGAGGCAGTGGGGTTGTTTTGTCTGGAAAGCCAAAATGCTGGTCCTAATGTAACGATTGCATTAGCATGATGTTGACAATACCAAATGTAGTCAATACCAACAAGAAAGAAAAGTGGGAGGCATCTAAGGAAACCAGTACAGTGGTACCTCAGGTTACATACGCTTCAGGTTACATGCACTTCTTCAGGTTACAGACTCTGCTAACCCAGAAATAGTGCTTCAGGTGAAGAACTTTGCTTCAGGATGAGAACAGAAATCGTGCTCCGGTGGCGCAGTGGCAGCAGGAGGCCCCATTAGCTAAAATGGTGCTTCAGGTTAAGAACGGACCTCCGGAATGAATTAAGTACTTAACCCGAGGTACTTAACTTGAGGTATGGCTGCATAAGAAGCTTACAGATGAGCTGAGAGTTAAGAAGGGCATGTATAAGAAATGGAAGAAAGGGGAAATCACAAAGGAGGAGTATAAACAAGTAGCCAACAGTTACAGGGAAAGTCTGGCTGACGAAAGCTCAGAATGAGCTCAGCCTTGCAAGAGAGGTTAAAAAGAATAAAAAAAAAGGTTTATTCTGCTATGTCCGAAGTAAGAGGAAGAACTAGCAAGTGGTAGGTCCTCTGTGTGGGGAAAAATGAAGAAATGATTTTGGGTGACAGAGAAAAGGCGGAACTACTCAACACCTACTTTGCCTCTGTCTTTACGCAAAAGGAAAGTGATGCCCAACCTAGTGATAACAGAATAAATGATGTAAGGAGGGAGCTGCAGCCTAAAATAGGCAAAGGGGTAGTAAGGGAACCTCTAGCTACTTTAAAAGAATTCAAATCTCCAGGGCCTGTTGAGCTGCATCCAAGGGTACTAAAGGAGCTTGCGTGTTCAATTTCAGAGCCTTTGTCTCTTATCTTTGAGAATTCTTGGGGAACAGGTGAGGTCCCTAAGACTAGGGGCAGGCAAGTGTTGTCCCCATCTTCAAAAGGGGGGGGGGGAGGAAGACCCAGGTAACTACCGACCTGTGAGCTTGACACTGATACCAGAAAAGGTCCTAGAACAGAAAATTCAACAGTCGGTCTGTGAGCATGTAGAAAAAGATGCTGTGATTACTAAGACCCAGCATGGATTTCTCAGAAATAAATCATGCCAGACCAATCTGATTTCTTTTTTTGGTGAAATTACAAACTTGGTGGATCAGGGAAATGTTGTTAATGTAGTGTATCTTGATTTCAGTAAGGCTTTTGATAAAGTCCCCCATGATATTCTCATGAGGAAGCTGGTAAAATGTGGGTGGATTTGTAGCTGGTTGACTGACTGAACCCAAAGAGTACTCATTAATGGTTCCTCGTCATCCTGGGAAAAAATGACAAGTGGGGTGCCGCAGGGTTCTGTCCTGAGCCCGTTGTTGTTCAATGTCTTTATAAATGACTTGGATGAAGGAATTGAGGGGATGCTCATCAAATTTGCAGATGACACCAAACTGGGAGGGGTGGCTAATGCTGCAGAAGACAGAATCAGAATTCAAAATGACCTTAACAGATTGGAGAACTGGGCGCAAGCTAATAAAATGAATTTAAACAGGGACAAATGTATGGTTCTGCACTCAGGCAGGAAGAACCAGATGCACAAATATAGGATGGGGGACACCTGGCCTACTAGCAGTACATGTGAAAAGGATCTAGGCAATCTTGGCTCTCCAGAAGTTTTGGGACTGCAACTCCCATCATCCCTAGCTAACAGGACCAGTGGTCAGGGATGATGGGATTGTAGTGCCAAAACATCTGGAGGGCCGAGTTTGCCTATGCCTGATCTACGGGTCTTAGTGGACCACAAGCTTAACATGAGTCAACAGTGTGATGCAGCAGCAAAAAAAGGTAATGCTATTCTAGGCTGCATCAACAGAGGTATGGTGTCCAGATCAAGGGAAGTAATAATACCACTCTATTCTGCCTTAGTCAGGTCACCCTTGGAATACCGTGTCCAATTCTGGGCACCACAATTTAAGAATGATGTTGACAAGCTGGAACGTGTGCAGAGGAGAGCAACCAAGATGATCAAGGGTCTGGAAAATAAGCCTTAAGAGGAATACTTGAAGGAGCTGGGTATGTTTAGCATGGAAAAGAGACAGAGAGGAGATATGATAGCCATCTTCAAATATCTCAAGGGCTGTCACATGGAGGAGGGAGCATGCTTGTTTTCTCCTGCTCTGGAGGGTAGGACTCGAACCAATGGCTTCAAGTTGCAAGAAAAGAGATTTCGACTAAACATTCGGAAAAACTTTGTGACAGTAAGAGCTATTCAGCAGTGGAACAGACTCCCACGAGAGGTGGTGGACTCTCGTTCCTTACAGGTTTTTAAACAGAGGTTGAATCTGTCATGGAGGCTTTAGCTGAGATTCCTGCATTGCAGGGGGTTGGACTAGATGACCCCTGGGTACCCTCCAACTCTATGATTCTATGACTCTATGAATTCCTCCCCTTTTCTGTTCTTCTGTAGTATGATTTGCAAAACAGCCTTCAAAAAAAGTACAACTGTTTATTTAGATGCTGATTTCTAAAATGGCACTTTAAAAAATGCTAGCTTTTTTTTATTATTAACATTCTGCCCTGCATCATTAAGGACCTGAAGAATGGAAAACTAAAGTAAGGGAGACACCATGCCTATAGAGCATCCAGTAAAACTGCAAGGCATTTTTATGATGAGATTAATTTCAACTGCAGTTATGAGGGTTTTGTCTGCATTACATGATTATGAGCCTGTTGGTGAATGGTTTAGACTTGTTTTTCTTTAACGCTTAGAGTCACAGTTCTCTTAAGCACATTCACAATGACAGAGACATTGACATATTTTAAAATTGTGCTTCAAATTTGTCGTAGCCAAAGACAAACTGCACAGCTTCTGCTGGTCTCACAATGGTCTCTACTTCAGGAACTGGAAGAACGCCCCACCAAAGCTAGAATATGCCCTGGTCTATAAAGGAGGGTCCATAGCTTGGTAGCAGAGCATCTGTTTCACGTTCAGAAGGTCACAGGTTCGATCCCTGGTATCCCCAGGTAGACCGAAGGAAGACCCCTGTTTGAAATCCTGGGGAGCTGTTGCCAGACAGTGTAGGCAGCCCTGAACTAGGAATGTATGATTTAGTCAATTGCAGGTTTTCTCTGAGGACACGGGTAGTGCTGTGGGTTAAACCACAGAGCCTAGGACTTGCCGATCAGAAGGTCGGCGGTTCTAATCCCTGTGACGGGGTGAGCTCCCGTTGCTTGGTCCCTGCTCCTGCCAACCTAGCAGTTCGAAAGCACATCAAAGTGCAAGTAGATAAATAGGTACCGCTCTGGCGGGAAGGTAAACGGCGTTTCCGTGCGCTGCTCTGGTTTGCCATAAGCAGCTTGGTCATGCTGGCCACATGACCTGGAAGCTGTCTGCAGACAAACGCCGGCTCCCTCGGCCTATAAAGCGAGATGAGCGCCGCAACCCCAGAGTCGGTCACGACTGAACCTAATGGTCAGGTGTCCCTTTACCTTTACCTTTAGGATCTCTCTGCTTCCAATTTTCCCATCTTAAATTCAGTTGCCAAGATTTCCACATCAGTGTGCAATTTTTTTAAAAAAACCTAATGAAAATTCAGCAGCATTTCAGTGTGAATTTTTCCTAGTTGCACATATATCTATGCTTAATATACAAATATTAGCAAAGCAATTTTCCCTTTTGTAATGCAGTTTTCTAAGCTATTTTCGCTAACTTTTATGCACACATTACTCAGGCATGTGCATTTTTGTACACATTACTCGACTGAAAAACTGCATTGCAAAATTCATAGAAATGCAAGTTTTGAAGGCTAGCTGTTTTTGAATTTACATATTGCTTTAAAAAAGTGTGAATTGCAAAAGTTCACCTATAAATGCAAACTGCATCAAATTTCTCCCCCATCCCTCCAATGAGTGAGGTGGACCAGCTTTCTGTGTCCTTTGGAGCCAAGCTACACTTTGGGAATCAACAAGACCCCAAAGTCTGGGGTCATGTCAATATGTTCCAGGTATATTCAGAAAGGAAGGAAAGGATGTTGTTGTTTCGGCACAATTGTTTAGTCAAAATGTTATTGCCTTCCACCGCAGAAAACATTGGAAAATAAGGATAAAAATCTCAGCCTTAAAAACCCAATTGGGTAAATCAAAACTGTTCCCAACATAGCTTTAGATTGCCTGTAATAACACCATAGGATGTAACAGCTTGATACTATACCTTTTTTTATTTCAAGCATTCTTCAGATGCAACCAATGACCATAGCCAGAAAAGGGCTGTGAGCTGTTATCAGTGCTGGCTCACTTACTGGAGTTTGCAGCTCAAAACTGCAGATCTGTGGAATATGTGCAAGGTAGACAATTTAGAAAAGTTAGAAGGGAGAGAGAAATTGTTTGATTTAGAACAGTTTAGACACCTGAACTATTTGCAGAGTATATAAGGAGTGATTTATAGAGAAGAGGGAGTAGAAGATACAAGAAAGATTGCACACATTATAGCAAAGATTGCAACATACCCTACAGACATAACAGATTGAAAATGATCCAAATTAGAAATAACAGACAAAGCACCCTTGTTGCGATATTGATTTTTCTCTCTCCTTCAGATTTTTTTTTGTTCTTTTATCCAAACTTCTGAGAGTTCTTTGCAGCTCCCATATCTATACATAGCAGCACTGGTTTGCAGTCAGCCTAGGGCTTGCTGATCAGAAGATTGATGGTTCGAAACCCCATGATGGGGTGAGCCCTTGTTGTTCTGTCCCAGCTCCTGCCCACCTAGCAGTTCGAAAGCACGTCAAGTGCAAGTAGATAAATAGGTACTGCTCCAGTGGGAAGGTAAATGGTGTTTCCGTGCACTGCTCTGGTTCACCAGAAGCGGCTTAGTCATGCTGGCCACATGACCCCGAAGCTGTCTGCGGACAAACACCGCCTCCCTCAGCCTATAGAGCGAGATGAGTGCTGCAATCCCAGCGTCATCAGCGACTGGACCTAATAGTCAGGGGTACCTTTACCTTAAGCTATGACCAACTTAAATCCATTGATTTCAGTGGGTCAACTCTGAGCATGGATTGGTCAAGTAAAACCCATAGCAGTTACCAGAAGTGGCTGAATAGGTGAGGCAGAGTTGTCTGCTAGCTTTCCAGCAAGTGAGGTACTGAAGCTTACCTAGCTAGACAGGGAGAGGAGAGGAGGCAGGGAAGTTAGCACAGGGAAATGCAGGAGTGCTGGGTTGTCTTCACAGTGATCTCTTCGCCACCTCATCCCTCTCCCTTCAGTAAGCAACAGTGATCCAACTACCAGGAGGCTAGCGTAATGGCTCCGCCCCACCCAACAAGCTGCTTTTAGTCTTAACGCAACTAGTCCATTAAGAAATCTCATCTATAACATCAAGGGTGGGATTCAATTGACTAGTCCCTGACTTCTGTTAGTGCAGTGGGCTTTTGCACCCCTTTCCTCAGCCCCCCCAATGCTCCCTGAAATTGGCTGGGGGGGGTCAGGAGAACCCGCTGAGCAGCATGTGGGGGAATGGGAAGGGAAATAGTTCCACCTGGAATGCTGAAAAGCTTACGCTGATGGAACAATTGCCATAGTGCTGCATTGAAATCCTCCCATTGATTTTATAGGGGCAGAGATATGCATGACTAGCTCATTATTTCAAGTGTACAACACACAACTTTTTAGAAGATATCTTTGCAACTGTCTGAATGTAAAAGGCTGGCAGCCCAGCAGAAATAAGTCATGCCTTCTCCTTCAGCCTCTGTAACATTACTTAGAAAACCACCAAGCATCTGATTCTGCTGCAAAATATATTCATTGGAAGTGTACTGTAAACACCATAAAACCTATAAACATGCCTCCAAGTATAATGCAGCGAAGGCCACCTCAGGTACATTTCTACTTAATGGTGTCTCTAAAGCAAACTGCTGCATGCTTGTGACAACCAGCAGCAGCTCCTTAAAATCATATTTTGGGGATACGTTTGCAAAGATGAGTAGTCCACCAAAGGTGTTACCTATGAATGTTTTCTTGGAAAGAGGTCCTACTTTGTTCATCAAGCCTTACAGGTAAGTGTCCTTAGGACTGTAGCTTTCGTCTGATACTACCCATAGTTACTCAGAAGTAAAGTTCCAGTGAGTTAAATGGACTTCCATGTTTGGGGGAATGTGGTGGCTTAGGCTGTTGCAGAGCCACAGCCACATCTCACATTTTCTGATATGAGCGCACAAACATAAAAAGAGCCTTGCTTGTCCAGGCCAAAGGCCTGTCTAGTCCAGCATCCTATCCTAATGGTGGCCACCCAGATGTCTTTGGGAAGATGTCTATGGGAAGTCCACAAGCAGGACATACAAAGGCATTCTCCTCACTTTTGCGACTGCTAGCAACTCTCTCCACTTTTGTAACTCCAACAGTTTTGGGGTAACCCCAATGTGTTCATTCACAAATGATGCATACCCCAGCTGGGATGGATCTTCGTTGGGGATGAGGCTGACAATGTGAGAATTAGGATGGGAAAAGGCAGGGTTAAAATAGTGGCTTGAACTAATACGGTAACTCTGTGCATCAATGATTCTAATAAAATTTCCCTCTGACTTTCCACCTGCCAAAGCTGCATATTACTTGCTGGTTCAAGGCTTCTGCTAATGCCCAAGAAGAGGAAGCTGTTGACTAATGTGCAACAATCAAAATAAATGCCTAATGAACCTTGAAATGAGCCTTCCTACTGGAAACTGTCCCCATACCTGAAAATATACGCCTATAGTTCACACACCAGTGCCTACTGTATATAGAATAGAAATGGCTACTGTGTCGCTAATATAAATAACCAATGCTGGAGGAGATCTTCAGTGAATGAATTCGAAAATTAGGCTGTAAAATTAGATTGGCTTTAATATCTCAATGAAGTTTAAATTATTATTATCTGGCATGCTTGGTGGAAATTGAGCCTATCTGCTAGGTATTGCCCTGAGCAGATTAAAGTGAACTGCAATAGCCTGAAGAGAGATCATAGAATCATCAAGTCATTGGTTTGGAAAGGACCCAAAGGTCTCCTGGTACCAAATGCAGAACTGTATATCTGCCTACCAACCATTCTCTTCTTTGCACTGACCAGCCCATACAATCCAGATGGCAGAAGCATAGAGGTTGTGTTCCAATACACCATATCCAGGTGCTGTTGGCCCACATTTATCATACTTGACCAATGGCTGCCTGGGGTTACTTGTATCCAATAGCAACTGGAGGGGTTATCCCTGATATACACTGTGGAAAAGTGCCTGCAGAACACGTAGCACCAGATCACGAAAGAACCAAGCCATGCTTTCTCATGCTACAAACACACTCCTCTCAAAACAGACAGAGATTAAGCAATAGATAGCATTCTCCATCCTCACAGTTGAGGGCACAGGAGAAAGCAATGGAAGGAAAGTTAGAGGCATTATAGGGTTGCAATGTCCATGGCCACTAAACTGTGGGCCTAGAACAGTCTTTCTCAACCTGTGGGTCCCCAGATGTTGTTGAACTGCAACTCTCATCACCCCTAGCTAGTAAGGCCAGAGCTCAGGGATGTTGGGAGTTGTAGTCCAACAACATCTGGGGACCCACAGGTTGAGAACCGCTGGCCTAGAAGATCATAATATTGAAGAGATTAGCAAAATAGCCAAATTTCATTATTCCTTGGTTTAAAGACAAATCTCAGTGATTGGTATAGCTCCCCTCAGATACAAGATTGTTCACTGTAAGAGGCTGAAAGTTTCTGTGAGCAAGCTTTTCTTCTATATTATTGCTGTTCCCATTTGTGCTGGGCCGATGTCCAGATTTCTTCTTCATTAGCTGACATGCATCACTCCTAACTTGAAGGCAAAACATCTGGAGGCAAAAGAATCAATCGGTTGGCTTGCATGTTGAGTTCTTGCACAGAATTTGTCTGACATATACTAAGCTGAAACAACAACAAAAGGCACTGCCTAGTTTAATTGAACCACATGTTTACTACAATGCCTTATAGATGGGGCTGCTATTGAAGACAACTTGAGAG